TTCATACAAACCAGAGGGTGCCTAACTTACTTCCTATTTCTTTCCTGCTAAATTTTTAAAATATTTGTTTTATACCTATTTTGTGCCACACACTGTAAGTTACCTTGACATACATTTTCTCATTTTATCATCAGAATTGCCATGTGAGGTGTTCTTTTTTTTATTTTTTTAAAGATTTTATTTATTTATTCATGAGAGATAGAGAGAGAGAGAGGCAGAGAGAGAGGCAGAGGCAGAGGGAGAAGCAGGCTCCCCGCGGAGCAGGGAGCCCGATGTCGGACTCGATCCCAGGACCCTGGGATCATGACCTGAGCCGAAGGCAGATGCTTAACCGACTGAGCCACCCAGGCGTCCCGCCATGTGAGGTGTTCTTACTGTATTCTTTTTTTTTTTCCCTTTTTTTGTAGAAAAGAAAGCTGAAAACCCAGAGAATTTAAATGACCAGTCACAGCTAAAAAATGGCTAAAGCAGAACCCACGTCCTATCTCTCTGTCTTTAAAGTCTATGCTTATCGTCAAGGCCAGGCCCTGGGTCCCACCTCCTGAAACTAGGGTGGCAGTTTAGGCCTGCTCAGGGCCAGACTGCCCTGTTGCCCCTGTTTTCATGCAAAACACTTCCTCCCAGGCTCTCTTTCATAGTTGTCCGCACTTTCTCTTCATCTCTGTCCTGATTCTGTTCATCAGTATCTCTTCTTTGGGTGGATACACTACGCCAGCCCATTTGGGAGAGGTAGCCAGAGCAATGTCTCCAAAACTTCACCATGCCACTGACCTGCTTAAGCCAGTTTGCTTATGCTTCCCATAGGATATCTTAACTTTACCAAGATTTACAACACTCTTTTTCCGATGTATGGGTCAGCCCCACTGAACTCTCCTCTCCTTTTCTTCTCCAACCCCCATCTGCCTTGTCCGTTGTTTGTCCCACACATGTGTCTACCTCCCAAACCTGTCTTCTACTCATATTTCAAATCCCGGCTTTGATCCCTAAGCAGCTTTCCCGGGCTCTGTGCACCAGTCTCTGCCCCACTACTTTGGTGCCCATCCAGTGGTGTGCTGGAGCCAAGGGGTACAACCCCCCAAAGCCAGTTGCTTATATCACTTCCTACTTCCAGCGTTGCGTGATGTCATATTGGCCATGGAGGGAGTATTTACGCCATAGAAATTGGCAAATGGTACAAATCAGCTTTTTTTTTTTTTTAATTGGTTGGTAAACATTTAGCAGCACAATACTGTGACTCTCCTAAGTTTTCATAATACTCTGAATACTATTTATTTCTTCATTTATGCAGTGAATATTTATCCACTGCCTACTCTGTGTCAGCTACCATTGTCGTTGCTGAGGATAAAAAGGTGGGACAATGAGATAGTTCCTGCCATCATGGGGCTTACAGTGTTGAAAGGGAGAGACTGACCTTAGGCAAATATTCACATATAAAATATAAAATAATTATGTTAAAAACAAAAAAATGCTTTAATGTGTCAGAGGATATTTGACCTAGCCTAAGAAGATTTTCCTGAGCTAAAATCTGAAGGATAATTTGGGATTGAAGAAGGAACAAGGTGAGGGAACAGCATTCCAGGCCAAAGGAACAACATGTGCTGTGGTCAGAAAGAGTATGAACCTCAGGAACAAGGGCAAGTGGACAAATATGGCTAGAAGGGAGCTGGGAAGCTTGGTGGGAGAGGCAGGTGCAGAGCTAAGGCCACACAGAGTTTTGAAGGCTCTCCTAAGGAGTTTCACTTTTATCCTAAGAGGAGTGCAAAGTCAACTGAAGTGTTTTCAGCAGGAAGACCACCTGGTATAATGGAAAATCAGTACGACATGGTGGTTGAGGAATCAAGTCCGGAACCAGGTTGCCTGGCTTGGAATGCTGACTCTGCTGCTTCCTAGTATCTTACTAGTAATTTCTCTGTGCCTCAGTTTCCTCCTGGATTATATGGTGATAAAATAATACCTCCCCTATAGGGCTGCTTATGAGACTGTAAAGCTCTGAGAACAGTACTTGGCATATCCTAAGTGCTATGTAAGTGCTTGTTTAAATAAATAAAAATATCTTTGATAAGATAGCTGAATGTCCTGGGTACCTGTGGTCCACTAGGGGATGCAGACATAAATAATTATAACATGAAGTAAGCACAAAAGATGTGGTAATACAAAGATAAGGATGAGCTTGTTTTCCAGTGGTTATTATGAGCAGAATTGAGGGCGTAAATGATGTTCTAGTTGGAGAAAGCAACACTAAGAGCCATGGAGATACACAAATGTCACTGTACTCAGAAGCTTAAAGCCTAGTGTAGGAAACAGATGTGAAAGAAAACCAATGGGGGAAAATATATTGTAGAAGTACAAGTAAGGAGTGATTAACTTTAACTCCAAAGCAAATGGGAGGTTTCAAGGAGGAGGGCCCAGCATCGTGGTTGACTGCATGTGCTCTGGAATCAGGCTGGCTCAGTTTAGAATGCGAACTTTGCACCCTACTAGTTATGTGATTTGACTTCTCTAATCCTCAATGTCCTGCTCAGTAAAGTGGGAATAATAATAATAATAATAATAATAATAATAATAATAATACCTAGCTCAGAGGGTTGATAAAAATTCACAGTTAATGCATGAAAAGCCTTAGTTAGCATACAGCACTCAATAAATATTAAGCTATTATTACTATTACATTATGAGATGAACTTTGAATGAGAAGGACTTTGATCAGCACTAAAAGAGTAACACGAGAAAAGGCCCAGAAGCTGAAAAGCATCTGACACATTTAAAGAACAGCAAGTCAATGCCACTTAAAGTGTGATCATCATTGCCAATCTGTGAACTGTTCTTACTGGTCCACAATGAGATAAATATAGATATTGAGAGTAAACATTTAGAAGTTAGAAGAAAACAAAGACAAATTGACGGAGTAATTTTGTACTTGTATACTTGTTGTACACTCATAATGAAAACTGGGGCTTGTAGTTTTTGTGCCTTGTTTCTATTTTTCTAGCAAGTTTTTAAAGATTGATTGAATGATTGATTTGAGAGAACACCAGCAAGCTGGTCCTGGGGGCGGGGGTGGGGAGTGGCAGAGGGAGAGGGAGAGAGAGAGAATCCTCAAGCAGACTCCCTGCTGAGCGGGGTGCCCACGTTGGGGGGCAGATTCTCATGACCCTGAGATCATGACCTGAGCCAGAATCAAGAGTCTGTCCACTTAACCCACTGAGCCACCCAGGCGCCCCTGTAGCAAGTTTTTAATTGTATCTCACAAAAGTAACGGTCCATGACTGATTGGAAGTAATAAAAACTTGTCTTTTGCTCCAGATAGTTTGAGAAAAAAGTAATTCAGTGAGGCTGGATATAGCACCACAGAGATGAACCTGCAAGAGTGGACCAGGATCACATTGTAAGGAAGTTCTAGAAAACGTGAATGTCTCAAAATTCATGCTTTATTCCGTGGGCAACAGGGTTAATAAAAGTTTACAGAGATTATTAACTGAGTATATAGGTAAATGGACATTGCACACTTTACACTTTTTTTCCCCCAGTGAGCATGTGGTTTCTCTCTCTTTTTTTTTTAATTAAAAGATTTTTTTTTCTGGTTAAGAGGAGAGACTTGAATTGCTCCGTGTTTCACAAAGATAACTGTTTGTATTTGATAAGAGTGTGGTTAAACAAAGAAATTCAAATTTATCAAAACATAAAACGTTGGAAATACTTGAGCACACACTCTGTGACCAGGAATGCATGTGACTTGTTGAGATAAGCTATACCAGGTGATCAGATGAGTGTCTTTTGTTCTTGGGCACTCTCCTACAAATAATGCATAAACTGATAGAATTGACTCTTCTGGATCTCCCAGCTTGGTTCATCTCCCCCACGACCATCCCCACCACCTCTCTAGCAATCCTGCACTGGGCAAAATGGGAGAATAACGTTGTTTTTGTTTGTTTTGTTTTTTAAGATTTTATTTATTTGCCAGAGAGAGAGAGAGAGATAGATCGAGCGAGCACAAGCAGGGGGAGCAGCAGGCAGAGGGAGAAGCAGACTCCCTGCTGAGCAGGGAGAGGAGGATGCGGGCTCCATCCCAGGACCCTGGGATCATGACCTGAGCCGAAGGCAGCCGCTTAGCCGACGGAGCCACCCAGGCCTCTGGAGAATAACGGTTTAATAATCAGCGTCTGACAGCAAGGCCTTCGTTGGCCAGCCTCGGAGACAGGCCCTGACCTGTCGCGTTCTCCTTTCAGCCTCACAGCCCCGTCCTTCCCTACCTGCACCGCCTCTCATTAAATAAAGCACATCTCACCTCTGCCAAGTCTTTGGCCTCACCTGAGGTTACACACTTTCGGAAACACCCTGTGGCCCAGAACCCCAGACCCTGGAGGCAACTCCTGAGTCTCTTCGTCCCTCTATAAACAAGCAGGGGCTCTAGGGGCCCAGGGCCCAGCTTGAAACTCTCAATTTTCCGACGGCCGCCAGAACTCAGAAGGTGAGGAGCCATCTGATCGACCTATGGCCCTCGGGTCGCCTGAGCCCCAGGAGGCCCCTGGCGTTCTGGAGGTGGAGTCCCGGGCCCCCCGCCCCCCCCCCGGCGCCCGTGCCCCCCTCCCCGCCCCCCCCGCCCCAGCCCCTCCGGCCCGCCGCGCCTGGCCTTTCCGCTCGCGGCGCAGCGGGGGCAGGGCCGCAGTCACCCGACGGCGCGGAGGGCTCCGGGCGCGTCAGGGGTGTGGCCGCCGCCACCTGAAAGCTGCGCCGCGCGTGTGGCCCCGGGTACCGCCGCCGCCGCCGCCCCCGAGCGGCCCCCAGGTGCGTTCGCCGCAGGCCCGCCGTGCCCGTGGGCGGCTGGGTGGAGGCCCGGGCCCTTCCGGCGGGCGGGCTGAGCGGGTGCCGGCCCCGGGGATGGCCTTCTAAGTCGCTCATGCGTGGGAGCGACTGACGGACGGGGCTGGGAGGCCACGGGAGACGGGCGGGCCGTGCGGCTTCCGTGACGGGGGAGGACCGGGCCCAGAGACGGGAAGCCGAGCGCCGGCGTCGGCAGGGCGCCGGATGCCGCGGAACCGCAGCGAGCGCGGCCGTGGCGGCGCCTCGCCCAGAGCGGCCCCCGCCGGCCCTTCGGGTCGGGGCTGCCCTCCCCGCGTCCGGAACGGGCTCCCCGCTCCCCGAGGCCTCCGGGGCGCTTTCTCCGAGCTCCTTGGAGGTGCTTTTCCGCCTTTTACCTTGTGCTTTCGCTTTTGGTGCGCACGCCCAGGCTCCGCTCAGACTCCCAAGTTCCGCCAGGGCAGAGCCTGCCCGGCTTGTGGGGGCCTCGGGGGTACAACCTCGGCAGCTGAAGGGATGAGCCAGTGCCTATGAAATAGAACTGATGAGTTAACACTTGAGTAAGTGAATGGGTGCCCATGAAGGAATGCAAATACGGAGTGGAGGCAGTGGAGACACAGGCTTCTAAGGCTCATCTTCCGGTGGATAGTTTTCCCGAAAAGTCGTGCTAATGTTGCACTCTTGCAGACCGAGCCATTCACTTCAAAGGAGCTTTATTTTATGATGTTTTTAAAGAAAATAAGCACCAGAAGCGCCCCCTCCTATTTCCAGTTTGGGTAGATTTCTGTAAATATGTTGCTTAAAAATGTGCCTAGGCTTTTTCTTGCTTGTGTTTTGTATTCTGCTGCGGACTTTTGAAGAATCATTGTCACTGTACTATTTACTGTGTTTCTGAAAGATAAGGGTGAATCTAAAGGTAAAAACACATGACTCTGCTTTAAGTAACTTTTTGTAAAATCAGACATTTCTCTTGAATTCAAGTTTGTGAAGAATCTTGTTTGTTTTCCTGAGATAGGTACTAGCTGGTTTGTGAGTAACGGAAGCAGGCTGAATGTAGTCCAGAGAGGGAAATGAGAGACATTTATCTGTGCAGATGCTTTGGAAGTAACATAGGCTGAGACTGCTTTAATACTTTAGTACATCAGCTCTGTAGGTTCCCAGACTTGAGTTCCAGAAAAGCCAGATGACTTTGGACTGGTCATTTGATCTTTTTAGGTCTCAGTTCCTTAATCTCCCAAGATGAGGGAGGGTTGGTGAGGCCCCTTCCTGAATTAGATTTCTAGGATTCTCTTTCATCAAGGTTAAAGGTGAGATGTAGGTGACTTCATGGAATTCTGCTCACTTCAGCCTATCTGTTTGGGATTCTGTAGAATCTTGGTCCTACTTTCTTTTCTGCAAATTACAGCTCATTCCTTATTCTTCTCCACATCTGTTGCAAAAGTATCTGGGAGCTCAAGAAGAGAATAATAGACTCCTGGCTGGTGGGGAGAAGGGGAGGCAAGATTTCACTCCACATTGCCAGAGGCTCCTGGGCCTGGGTCTAACCTGTTTCCAGTGCAGCCCAGCCTGACAGTGCCATATATCTCCAGTGTCTGGGGAATTGTATCACTATTAATTTGCATGCATTTGAGAGTAGTTATTATAGATCACAACATTTTGGAGCTGGAAGGGCCTTAGAGATTTTTTTAATGGCACTTAAAAAGTCATTTTACAAACATATTAAAATATTTTTTGCATGCTCCATTTAACAAACACAAAGTCCCAAACGTGTTAAGTAAAATAAAATTAATGTTACCTACTTCAGTTGCTTCAAGTCTATTGGGAGAAGTGGGGCCAAAAGTGGTACTTGGTGAAAAAGACCAACTTTCTTGAACTCTTTTCCCAAAGAGCCATTTACAAGGTCATGTGTTGTTTAGGCATGGAATGTAACAAAAGTTGATATTTATGGGGCACTGACCATGCAGAAAGCACTGTTATATTTAATCTTTTTACTTATATTGCCCCCATTTAATCCTTACTATAAACCTAAGAGCTAGGTACTATTGCCATCCCCATTCAACCTTCCTAAATAGAAACTGCTTGGAAAATGGGCAAGTCAAGTACTCAAAATATAGACAGTTGGAGGCAGGGTTTCCCCAGAAACATAGGCAATCTCTGCTAGGAGAGTCTGTGTGATGTTAGATAATGAGGTGTATGTTCTGGGATAGGTATACGTAACTCTGGGGCATTGTGGGTAAATGAATTTGGGATGGGAGCTTAGGGGTGGAATGAGTAAGACTGAATTATAGAGAACTGGTTGTTATATCCTTTTGAAAATTATTGAATTCCATTGGGACTCTGGTAGACTCTGATACTTTGACCTAAATGCACATGCATCCTAATTTTAAACATCTTCAGACTTAACCAATTTAGGGTGTAAAATGGGTGACATCAAGAGCTAGCATCAGCTTAAGAGCTTTGAACTGTGAGTACAGAGCATTATTATTTCCTGGGCTAGCTTTGTGTCCTTGTGAAGGCTTTGCCTCCCAACCTCCTTTATAAGAACAACAACTCCCATTGCAGAAAAAGTATAACGACGATATCCCTGTAATCCAGGGACAAGACTGCAGGACGCTTATAAGTAATTGATGAGAGCAAAAGAGGAGAAGAGGGGCCTGTAAAATAAGTGGAAAATTGTTTTGTTTTTTCTTTGTCAGTCAAGTTTAGCTGCATGGAAGGCAGAGACCTATCGCGGCTGCTTGAAAAACTGAGAGCAGATGCCAGTTTGATTTAGCTCAGGAGGCTGAAAGTTTCTGCCCCGAAGGCTGGTGTGATAGAATAGATTTTCCCATTGCTCACAATATTATGAAAAAAACATTAAAGCAACAATTTTTATTACTTGCCCTGGAGCTAGAGCTTTAAAATGTACTTTCTTCTCCCCCTACCCTCCCTAAACCACTTAGCTTTTAAAAACAAACAACCCATTCATGTGTTTGCCTCAGTCAGATTATTAGTCCTTTCTCTTTATTCCTGGGCCCTGTTTCTTTAATGCAGTGAAGAAGTAGGACCAGTGTGCTTCTAGGTTTCTGGAATTTTTCTTTAGTTATGATTTTATTTAGCACATGTTTTCAGTGGCCATTTATTCAGTGTGTACTATGCACCAGATTAAGATGAACGAGATACTGAATTTAAGTAGGAAGTGACCATTCCACAAATACTTGCACCACAGGGTGATGTTAAAGTGGGGGCATTCATTTTCCTAGCAAAGAGCTATGGTTAGAGCTGGGGAAGACTTCAGAGGGCAGGTGAGTTTTGAACTTGATTTTGAAGCCTGAGGGCCAAGAGGTAGGAGAAGGGCATTCTAAGCCGAGAGAACAACATTGGCAAGGCCTGGTTGGCAAGGCCTGGGAGGCGGTGAGGATGAACGTGGCCCTCCCAGAGGGAGAGATGGGAGTTCTGTGTGGCTGCAGTAGAGAAGTCTTGTGAGAGTGGGGCCATGTTATCTAGACCTTTTCACGCCGTGGATAATCTGTTTCAGAGTTTTTTTAAGCAGAATTTTTCATCAGAGGCGTTTTATGATTGGGTTTTCTTTAGAAAATAGCTCCAGCAATAACACTTTGGAGGGATTGGCGATGGAAAAGCCAGGAAGCGGGAAGACCACGAGGATGACGTTGCTATAGCCCAGATGAAATAGGGTAAGGGTCTAAACAAACACAGGTTTGAAAGATACTCAGCAAGTAGAGATTTAATGACCCGCTGGATATGGGAAATAAGGTCAAAAATGATTCTGAGGTTTGAGATTTGCTTGGCTGGGAGAGTGGAGATGCCACTAAAGAGACTAATAAATATAAGGTGAAGAGGAGGTTTCAGGAGAAAGACCGTGAGTAGAGGCAACTGTGGAACATCCAGGGGAGACTCCTAGTCTACAGCCTTGACTGTCGCCACATCATACAGTCGAGACCTGCCAAACGTTACCACTGGTCCTCAGTCTGAAAAGAAAAATCAATTCAATAACTCTCTTAAAAAGAAGGGGGGAAAAATAACCACATTGGACTTGGCCAATGACCATTGCATCGTATTTCACGTGTTTGTTAGAACTCCAATTCTTATGTAAGTTCCAGTGAAGGAAAAGAAGTTGGACACTCAAAGCGTGAGGGATTACTGCAAGCCACCCAAAGAAACCGAAATAGAGCGACGTAGACAGGAGTGGTTCAAAGGAACAAAGATAAGCAAATGGCAGGAGTGTAGAGGAGGACGGACCACTGTCGACACAGGTGTAGGCAGACTTAGAATATAGAGAAGAAATTTGAGCTGGCTCTTCCAAATAACTGTACTTCTTTAATGGTAAGAATATCACAAGCTTTAGATTTTTTCTCTTATTCAACTGGTCAGGAGGAGACAAGTAGGAGATTGTTCAGAGGTGCTGGGCAAAGGATTTGATCTTACATTGCAGAGAAAGTGTTGGGAGACTTTGAACTAAGGGAAGAATAAAAGAGGTAGAGTAAGATAAAATGAAAAGGATAATGATTAGGAGGAACTCTCAGAACATTTAATGAGTTCTATGACAAATCGTTGCTAACAAAGAAAAAGGGAGATTGATATAGCATTCTCTTAGTGTTGTGGCATTAGACTTGCTTGGAAAAAAGAATATATTAGCATGGCACCTTATATTTAAGAAGAATTTTTACATTTGATTGTTATGTGAACCCTCCAAAATGGGTGCAGCGAGGCACTATTACCTTTCTTTTATAAACTAAAAATCTGGGTATTAAGCAGGCTGTAGTTTGCCTCAGCTCCCCTGGCTGGCAAGAGCTCCAAGCCTTCTGACTTCCAATCTACTGCTCTATTGTATCAGAGCCTTGCTTTGCCTTGGAACCCTGGCCTTTTATAGTGCGTTCTCCCCCCCCCCCCCCCCCGCCCGCCCCATGTTGCATCATGTAAAAGTAAAGCAGATGGTATTTGAAGGCCAACAAAGCCAAGATTTCTCAGGAGGGAGGCAGTGATAGAAAGTATCTTTAGCAGCAATTCTGCTGTATACTGTGGGGATGGTCATGAAGGGTTGTATATAGAGAATATCTGTGGAAATCTAATGATACTTTCAATGCAATAGGAGAATCTACAATATGTCTTATGATTAAATCTTCCATGAAGCAGATAACCCCTTTATAAAGCGAACAGCTAATCACTAGATAAATCCAGACTTTCAAATACGGGGTTTGCTTAAAGCAAGACACATCTGCAGGAAGCTACATCTACATTGAGTATATTATATGTTGAAGACTTTTCTAACTTGAGTATCATATATGGAAATGGGGATCTGGAGCTGGATCCCTTATTCATTAGAGACCATTGAAAACAAAGTGCACATAATGATTTGCAGTTAAATCCATCTATCTACCT